AAGTTGGTTGATATTAAATTACAAGCTCTGATGAGATTTCCAACAAGCAACCTCAATCCGAATTTTTAAAAAAAATGTAGGAAAGTGAGATAGGGTACATTTGTCTTATTAAACTAAATCTAAAACTAAAGAGGCTTGCAGCTATAGGTTATATAAAATTAGTACAATAAATAATTTGTACACAATTGCCCATATTTCATTTAACATATTTATTGATTTTCATTATGTAATTTATACCTAATCTGAGATGCAAAGTTAATTAATTAATGCTATCATTTTAAAAAGGTGCTGTTTTCCGGTATCTTCCGATTTCAAAATGTGGCTCTTGGGCCCAAACAATTGTCCACTGCTTGGTTCAGGAAATAATTCCCAAAAAGTTTTAATCAGTGGCATTGGTTATAATACTTATCCTAACTGTCCTGACATTCAATTTTCTCCCAACCATATTTTTAACTGTCCTTCAAAATTGGTTAAACTCCACAACATAAACCCCACGGATCATCAATTGCTTTATTCGCCCAAAGTCATCGATTTAGCAAGAGCCATTTGATTTCACTGCAAGGTCGAGCCTAGCACTACATGGACGAAACAACAAACAATAATATTTTAATAAAAGCTTAAATTTTGAGCAAAGTAACGTAATGTTACTAAATTATTTTTATGGAAATAAGATATCCCCAATGTATTGACCTTTCGGTTAAAGAAGTAAATTCATAGAGTTTCTAGTTAATGATATTTTATTGAAAGGAAACAACTCTGTCACCATAACCACTCGGTGGGTGCACCTCAGTAAAACCTAGTCGTAAAGGACTATTATGTAAATTAAAGAATTAAGCAAGAAACTATTCCAGTTAACAAGCCGAGGAAACAATACTAGACACAAGCTTGTGATCTTGACCATTCTGCTACCACATCTACTAATGAAAAATTATTATAAATGACTATTTTGGAAATTAAAGGATCAAGCAAATAACTTTTCCAGTTAACAAGCAAAGGGCCAAAAGCTCGTGACCAAGACCATTCGGCTACCACATCTGCTACTGTAAACTGATCATGAATGACTATGATGGAAATCAAAGGATCAAGCAAATAACATTTCCAGTTAATAAGCCAAGGAAACAAAATGCTAGTCACAAACTCGTGACCATGGCCATTCGGCTACCACATCTGATTATGAATGACAATCATGAAAATAAAAAAAATTAAGGAAGTAATATTTCCAGGCAACGAGGTAAGGCAAAGAATCAATAGCTTCTGCAAGCTGCTGACCGTGACATCTGCTACTAGGAGCTGATTTACGTGATTATCATTCAGATAAAAGAATAAGTAAGTAACATTTCCAGGAAAGACAAGGCTAAGAAGCGATGCCATCCACAAGCTTGTGACCATGACTACTCGGTTACTACGTCTGGTATTAAAAGCTGACCATGAATGACTGCCTTCAAAGAAAAGAGCTAAGCAGTAACATTTCCAGGAAACTAGGCATAGTAAAGAAATAACAGCAGCTGCAAGTTCACGACTGTAGCTATTCGGCTACAGCATCTACTAATAAAATCTGATCATACATGATTATCTTTCAGATAAAAGAATTAAGCAAATAACATTTCCAGGTAACGAGGCAAGACAAGGCTAGGAAATGGGGCGACAAGTTCGCGAAAATGGCTATTCAGTTACCACGTCTGCTACTAAATAATCATCATGAATGACTATCATTCAAAGAAAAGAACAAAGCAGTAACATTTCCAGGTAACGAGGCAAGGCAAAGAAATGATGGCAGCTTCAAGCTCACGATCATGACTACTCGGCTACAGCATTTAATACTAAAAGCTGATCATGTATGATTATCATTCAGATAAAGGAATTAAGCAAATAACATTTCCAGGCAACGAGACAAGACAAGGCTAGGAAACATGGCCCTCCACAAGATCGTGACCATGGCTACTCGGTTACCGCGTTTGCTACTAAAAACTCACCATGAATGACTGCCACTCAAAGAAAAGAACTAAGCAGCATTATTTCCAGGTAACGAGGCAAGGTAAAGAAATAACAACAACTACAAGCAGCTCACAACCAAGACTTTTCGACTACATCATATACTACTAGAAGCTGCTCATACATGATTATCATTCAGATAAAAGAATTAAGCTAATAACATTTCCAGGTAACGAGACAAAATTCGACAAAGAAACAACTCAAGACACAAGTTCGCAACCACAATTAGTCGGTTACTCCACCCGGTACTGAAAACTGAATGTAAATGAGTATCTAATTCAAATAAAAAAATTAAGTAAGAAACATTTCTAATTAAGAAGGCAAGAAAACCACTCCTGTCATAAATTCTCGATCATCGCTAATCAATTACCCAGTTTACTACATACAACAGATCATAAATTACTGTTATACGGGAGTGAGTCGGAACATAAGTTTCGCCGGTCAACTGTGGTCAGAGTTGAGTATGAAAATCAAAATATAGAATGAGACATTTAAGATAAGACTTAACTTTGTTTTTCCACATAAGTACCAAGTACATTGAGGCATTAGCCACACCTCTTGATAAGCTTCAAAAAGCCCCCCAGGAAAAATTCAGAGCTTTGCATACAGAAGAAGCGTTTAACGGCTATGGATGAACGACGAAACAGTAAGTGAACGCTCAAGATACCCGTTCACGATAGGGTAGAGGTCGACCGCGATCAAGCAGAGGGATTCGGAAAAAGTGGCCAGAGTTTCACAAATCTGGCGTTCTGTATTTGGATGACAATGCGAGCCCACAATCGGCAATGGCAATGCAAAACCATATTGTAACTCTTGGTTGGGGGGGGGTGGAACCTACACCATCCACCATACAGTCTTGATCTCGCACCAAGTGATTTTCATCTGTTCCCGGCTTTGAAGAAGAATCTCACCGGAAGGCGCTTGTGAAGCAACGGTGAAGTCAAACAAGCCGTTAAACGCTTCTTCCGTATGCAAGACTATAATTTTTCTTGGAGGGCTTTTTTGAAGCCGGTCAAGCGGTATGAGAAATGCCTCATTCTATGCTTTGACTTTCATACGCAACTCTGACCACAGTCCAGTCGACAGGGGAATCTTATTTTCCGACTCACACTCGTACAAATAAAAGAACTAAGCAAGTAACCTTTCCGGGTGAAGAGGCAAGACACGGAAACAACCTCAACCACGAACTCGCAATCAGACCTCTCGGCAATCGCATCTGCTACAAAAAATGACCATAAATTATTCCCATTCAAATAAAAGCATTAAGTAAATAACATTTCCAGTTAAGGCCATAAAAGAAATGAAATAGCTCTTAAAATGAAATGATATCCCTAAATTAATATAAATGCCTACTCGTACAAAAATATTTTCTTTTATATCCCATTTCAATTACGCGATACAATTAAAATAATTTTGCTCTTTTGGACTGGTAAACGTTCAAGCATTTCAAACATCATTCTACTCAAACTAAAACGATACAGAATTCGAATGATATTTTTTCACCCTAATGACAAAACTCGAAAAGCCATTTCCAAATTATTGCAGTCTCTTCATCGAAGTATTATCAAAAGGAATCATTATTATAAGCCAAGTGGTTGAACTTAAAAACACGTATAAGAAGCAAACCGCCTTTGTTTGTCGTGGCATTCATAAGGGATACTTGAAACCAGTGTTCCACAGAAGTGGTTGTATACAATCCTAAAAATTGTTGTCGAGACGAACCATCGAAACAGTATTTAAAGAAAAGAATAGGAGCCCAGTCCCCATCGAAGTACATTTCGGTAAGTTGTTTCTTTGTTGGAACTTTTTGCTTTCGAGTCGATGGAAAGAGGGGTTCTTCTGTATCCCGAAAGGTTCTTATGTTTGTGGAAGGAATAGATTTATCGTTATAGTTTAGAAAGGGGAACGGTTTTTGTTAGTAAGAAATCATAAACTTTTAGGGCCGAGTCTCGGGAACAATAACAAGGCACAAAAACTATGCCAATAAAAGAAAAGGAAGCAGTAAATATGTAAACAGTAATAAAAGAACATAAATAGAAGTAAATAGTTCCAATATCTCTGGGAACGGTGAAAGGGGTGTTGTTTGAGTGCATGCCAGTTTGGCATATTATCAAATTTATGTCGTTTGTTCCTGCGATCGTTTTAAAACTTTATTATGTAATTGTCAGTAGGAGTGGTAAATGGGCTAGTAACAGATTCGTTTATATTTTTCATTTATTTGGAAATAAATGGGCCAAAAGGATAAAAATTTCATTTTAAAATATTTTTTATTTAAATATTTGTGTTTTTTTGGTAATGGTATTCTCATTAAAGCAAAGTTTTATTGGATAATTAATTTTCCTGTTAAAAAAACCACATTTATTCAATTATGCATATCTTTAATGTCTTCATAAGTTAATAATCTCATATATCGTCAAAGTTCACATTCGAAAATATTAAAAGCACCCGGTGAAAATGTTTTATGATTTAACACTAGGTTCACGGGACTCAACACTGTTTTTGTGATTAATTTTAAAAATTAAATTAATCTTTTTTAAAGACAATATAAGGTTTACTATGCCTGTTAATATGAATGGTGACAGTAAAGATAGGCGTATAAAAGTTTCCGTAACCTAGTGTCAAATGGAAAGGAATTCGTATTGCATTACTAAAAATTATTTTTTCTTTCTTTTTGTGCCTTGCTCTTTGCTATTATATCATAAGAATATAGACAGAAGTACACCATTATAATACCGCAAAAACATGTTAGAAGTTTTTTTTCGAATTCCTACTATTTGTTCACTCTCTCCCTGCATATGTTTTTCAAATTTTCAATAGTAATAAAATACTTTCTATTCATCCACGCATTCAAGTTCAAATACATTTTTTTAAAACTTGTAGTGGATGACACTTGATATTAATACATTTTTTCAAATATTAATTCATTAATTAAATTTAAAAATGAATAAATTGTAACAAACAAAAATAATAGTCCAACAGCATATATAGAAAAGAAACTTATTCGTCGTGTCCCTGTAGCGCAATGACTAGCGCGTTGGACTTCTAATCCAATGTTGTGGGTTCGAACCCTAACTGGGATGGCCTAATTTCCGAGAATGTGATTTCTTTTTTACTATACTATTTTTTTAGAATAATTAAATTTAATTAATGAATATATAGTAACAAACAAAAATAACAGTCCAACACCATATATAGAAAGGAAACTGGAAAATAGCAAGGAAAATTGCTTTCTATTTTGCCATTTAATATTGTGATTCTGTCATAAGTATATATAATATTTATATTAATTATAACTATTTAATTAAAAGTAAATAAAAATTTTCTTTGTTGACCTAATTAGGAATTAACTTAATTTTTTTTTCATATTACATCTTTATTTACAACTTTGAAGGTAATGTAAATTAAAGATATGCGATCCTTTATTATAGTATTGCTGATAAGGAAAACTCTCTGCAACATCTTTAGTATGTTGCCAAGTCAAATAATATCGCTATAATAATAATTCTATACTTTTTTTTCTTAAATTTACCATGAATTATACAATTTATGTTAAATGTTTGACCAGTCTTTAAAAATAATATTTATGTTTCTAAGTAACTAATGAATTTCATAATCGCAAAAAATATTTCGTTGGAAAAAAATTCATTTAAAAAATTTTCTTTGTACAAAGTATACATATTTTCATACATATAGGTTATTTAATTTTAACCATATATTAATAATTCGAAAAATTAGAAAACGAAAAATGTATAGTTCAGTTTTAACACTAGAAATACTTCTTAGGAAATTACGTTTTTATACTAGTTTTATATAGACCCGGGATTTTTCTAATAACATCATTCTACCAATTTATCCGCCAATAAAAAACAATCTTATCATACATTTAGTTTTTCCCTCTTACTTCACTGTAAACCGTAATTATTTAAAGATATTATTCTGTGACTCACTTTAAAATTAATTAACGAAATAATTAAACGCATTGTCAAAACTTGTGAACATGTTGTGAAAGAAAAAATGAACATCATTTATTTTTGCGTTCAGTCGACTTGAAATACCAAAAATTACAAATATTTTAAACTCCAGATTCACATTCGGTAGAATGATCCTTTTACGCAAACTCATTCAAAAATGTAAAAATACAAATTAACTCTAACCAGGCAGAAAAATTGCAGCAAATTATAAACGTGCGGGCATAAATGGGATAAAAAGTCCATTATTGTAGTAAATTATATTTTTCTTGAAACTAACCAAGCGGATAACTTCGTTATTAAACTTTTAAAGCGATATAAATCTTGCTTGTATATTTCAACAAAAAGATGTGATATTTTCCAGTGATTTAAAATATTTTGAAATATTGCATGCATAATGACTTTCAGCTGTATACGATGTCCCACATTATTTATTAGGCATATGTTAAGAGAGTATATTGAAATAATATTTGCGTAATATCAGTTGAGAGTTTTGGAAAATTGTTTTCAAATATAGCAGTGATTGTTTAAGTTTCCCTTTTTCATGGAGTTTCCCTCGCTTCTTTTTTAATCTGTTCTTTTAATACTAAAAGCAGAAAAATAAAATTTCTGCATTTTCTATTCATTGTAGTAGTTCTGATTTTTCGTTCATTTGATTCAACTTGCATAAAAATTGTTTTGATTGTTTGACTGTTTTGATAAAAACTGTTTTGAAGAAACTGGTTTGATTTCAACCCTTACATAAAAACTTTATATATTTTCCTTTAAAATAATTATTTTGAATATTATTATTGAAATAAATTATTCACATCCGATGTTTGTCTTGTATGAATGTATTGATGTAATTATCCGAATCTATTTAAAAGCAAACGTTTTCATTGGATTTCAATTCAATTCAAAATAAACATACAGGTAACATTATAATAACCCTTCTTCCCTTCTATCCTGTGACCCAGCTAAGGGTGTGGAAGGAAGTGAAGGATTATTCAACATGATAATTTCCAATTATTTTATTTACCTCTTTAATCGACTCAAACACAATTCAATGCAACACAATAAATAGGATGTTCCAATCAGTCAACAGAGGGAGACCACGAGAGTCGCGTTTTGGGCGAATCATCTAATAAACCACTTGATAATAATAGTTCTACCTCAATATTACTTTACACTGTAGATATATAACTATTGGCCGCTTAACCTCTTTAATACTTTAAATTTCAAACGTAATATGAAAGTGACAATACCTGAACTGTAGGCAGTCTTCTAATCAATTAAGGTTTAATTTATCAATATCAACTTCCTGTCTTTAATCTCTCACAAGGCCTTTCTAACCTTTCGCGGTTTTCTTCACCATGTATCTCTCTTGTCACTTTTAGTTAACTAACCTTCTAAAACTTTATACTATCTACCTTTCTTCACTTTCTAACTCACTAACTCCCTTTAACTCGCGAACTAGATCTATATATAATAAAGTTAATTTGAATATCACGTCTTTTTCTCAGGAGAAGATTGATTATTTTTGGTAGCCCCAAAGAATTCCCCAGAAGATTAGTATAAGGACGCGTATAGATCTGTCACTACATAAAAACAAATTTTTTTAAATTTAATACCTACTTAGGTCAACAAAAAAAATATTTTAGTTACTTTTGATGAAAAAAATTATACTAAAGCTGATATTAATTAAATAGTTTTAATTAATGAATTAATATTTGAAAAAAGCTGTATTAACATCAAATGTCATCCAGTACAAGTTTAAGAAAATGTATTTAAACTTGAGAGGATAGATAAAAAAGTATTTTATTAACGAAGTAAAATTGGAATAAGATATAAAAATATATATAGGGAGAGTGAGAACTAAAAGTGGGAATTAAAAATAGCCATATGGCTAACGCGGCCACATCAAATTTTTAGAATATCACACCACATACACATAGTTATCATACCACAAACACAATCATTTTCTATAAGTAAAAGTAAATATACTCAACTAGAATATTTATAACACATATTTATAAAACAGGATTACTTGTCAAAATTTGAAATTTAACGCGAGATGCTACAGATAATTTAAGAATTTTTCAACTCCAATTCGATTTTTAGAATCCCAGAAATTTTTATCACACTCAATTTAAGACCGCAATTGATGAGATACATTTGAAAAGCTTTACACCGACTTAAAGACAACGGAACAAGACGAAGCGAGGGATCTTAGCGAAAACTTCCAAGATTTTTCACGAAAAAATATTACTTTACACTAAAATAATATTAAAAAAAAAAAGAGAGAGAAATTTAATGCCTTCATATTGAGAGTGCAAAGCTGTTTTCAACTTCAATCCAACTTTTAAGGACCTTGTACTACTTTTTCCCGTTTCTTGTAATCCTCTGCCATCAACTTGGAAAAATAAAAAAGGACTTCATAGAGGACGCTCTTAAGTACAGAAGTCTCTAGAAGGCATGGATCAAAATAATAGAGTTATAACGATGAGTCTTGAATATAGGGTTGGGGTATTGGGTCATCAAAAGGAGCTTTTTTAAGGCTTTAAAGCTGCATTACATTTATATGTTTTTTTTTCTTAAAAGACTCTGAGTTTTTTTTTTAAAAAGAATTCGTGGAACGGCTTATGTGCGGATGCATTTTTTCAGTTGCATCAAATCGAATTTTTTTGATTAATACATAATCTTATTTAAATATCGTCTGCAAGGATTAAGGAGATTTTTATTTTGAAAGATCTTCATGGATCACTGCTGCTTGAATGTAAAAGAAGATTTTTCCCCCCCTCGAAATATGCCGTGGTGTAAATAAATGTGACATTTATATCATTATAAGATAGATTATTTGGACATGTCATTTTATTTAAATCGCATTAGCTTAAGATATTTTAAACGGTTATAAACGTCATCATCGATTTTGTTCATTTTTATCTCTCTCTTTCGATGCATATTTTCAAATTTTCAAGAATTTTGATTTTAGATTGTTTTAAGATTAAAATGCATAATAACGTAAATTTTTTCAGGAAAAAAATTGTCTAAAAAAAGTACTTGAAATAAATTAATCCATGGAATAATAAAAATAATTTTGCTAGAATAATTTTTTTTGAGTAGTTATTTACAAAATGTATTGCAATGAATAATAAAATTTTTATGAAGCTAAAATGAAAAAAAAATTATTCAGATCTAATTTTACACCATTAAAGGTTTCATTTGCTCTTTGAATACTATTTTCTCTGGAAATAAGTTTTCATTGTTAATATATACACCGTAAACGAAGTATTTTTAAGGTATCCAACTACCCTAAAATTGTGAATTTTGCCAAAAATCGACAAATTTTATAATGATTGTATTTTTTATTGGCCATTTTATTAGCTTTATAAAAATACCAAGAATATTATTCCCCATTCACTAGAACAAAAACTACAAGTGTTTTATTAAAAGCAAATGCTATTACTTTAAAATAAGATATAGTACAAAACGCGTTTTACTCGCAATGAGTTTTTTTGAAAATGCTTAAACGCGGGTAGCGCGATTGCTAAATAAGTTTTGAAAATAATTAACTGAAATTTTTTGTGTACGCTCTGTATAATATAGTAGAAATGTTATAAATTTCAAGTTTATCAATCACTGTTTTATTACAAAATTTAGACTCTTAAGTTAATGTAATCACAAATTTTTAAGCAATTTCATATAATATCTAAGATAAAGTGCTCTAGTTTTTGTAAAAATTAAAATATCTCTTATCCTGATGGTCATTTTAAAAATGAATAACATAGTGGCACATCAGAATTGAAAAATTGAAAATTTGTTGATAAACCTTTGGTACAAAATGGGCCCCCTGAATGCTATTTTTCGTAAATTTTTACGAATTTTTTCCCATTTTAGTAATAATAATTTCTTTTTCTCTTTTTAATTTTAGCATATTTTTCCTAAAATGTACTAAACATCTCACAAAAAATATCCATGTCTCCAATTTCTTAAAAAAATGTGGTCGCAAGTAGTTGGATACCTTAAATTCCGTATATAGGAAGAATTGAAACTTTTCAAGTGAACAGCGTACATCACTATTAAATCCCAAAAATTTTTTAGTAACTGTTCCCATGAAATCTCGAATATATCTT